GATGCATATTCAGAAAGACAATTATCTTATGCTCTCTCTTATATATGTATTATATGAATCCTAGCTGTGTGTGTGTGTGTGTGTGTGTGTGTGTGTGTGTGTGTGTGTGTGGTGATGTATTCTGTCCCCCAATATACTGTGTCTTCCAATAAAATAAAACTTGCCTGGAGATCAGAGGAAAAAGTCAGCCACTATATAGAAGTCAGGCAATGGTGTCACACACTTTTAATCTTATCACTTGGGAGGCAGGGATCTGTCTGGATCTCTGCGAGTTCAAGGCCACACTGGAACAGAGCCAGGCGTGGTGGCACACGCCTTACACTCCAACACTAGTTAACCATGGAGGTCTGGAGGTCTGTACAGACAGAAAGGAAGGGACAGAGCTGGGTAGAAAGAGGAAGTGATGTAGCTGGACAGAGAGCAAATCAGATGGCAGAACAGCAAGGCATATGTGCTTGGGTAGACAGGAAGTAGCTCACCTTTGGAAGCTGTGGAGTTGGTGAGATGAGGTTAGCTATGGCTTTCCCTATTTTCCAGATATATCTGGCTCCATGTTTTTTATTTCGTGTGTGTGTGTGTGTGTGTGTGTGTGTGTGTGTGTGTGTGTGTGTGAGAGAGAGAGAGAGAGAGAGAGAGAGAGAGAGAGAGAGAGAGGCAGTCCTGGCTTTGAAACTAGAAAAAGGGACCACAAACAGTATTGAGGAAGGAGGAGAGAGGATACTGAGACAAGTGGAATAAAATCAGTAAGGAGGCTACTGTGGTTGGTGGAAGAGTATAAAGCAGGCAGGGGATACGAGTGAAAAGGGAGAGAAGAGAGTCAACCCCAAAACAATTTTGTTTGGAAACACAAAATGAAACCTAATACTTTGTATTGGCATAAATAAATGTCTGAATTTTATCTGGGCTTTGTAGTTGTATTTGTTGGGAACATTGATTTGAATAACGTCACCCACCATCATTGGCAATGGAAACTTCTCTCCCCATTCTTGCCCACTCCTTCCTCTTCAATGGTAGGAGGTGCACCTTCTGGTAAGGTACAATTCTGATAACTGTCTGAAGATGTCCCTTGGTCAAAACGTCTCTCGTCTTTTATGGTCTTCTGGTAAGCTCTAACCTTGCTAGCATTCTGCTGAACATAACCTATTTTTCATTGCCTGTGCCTGTGGCTACTTTAGCCAAAGTGAAGTCTCTGAAGGCAGAGGTCCTATCCACTCACTTTTCTATCCTTGGTGGCCCCAGCTCCTTTCACTCTTCAGAGCAGAATCTGAAGGAGCAGTTGGCTTCTTGACTACTCTGCACTGTGGTAGCATTGTTCTCCATTTTCCATTATTCCTCTCAGGTTCAGTGATGATGTGAGGTTGTTCTTGACCCTTGCGAACCCAAGACTAGCATGTGAAATGAGTTGGCCTGTGGCAGTCTTTGAACCTATGGTTTATCTAAGCTGTGATCAGAAAGCTAGCAGTCACACCTTGCCCAACCCTAGGATACTCTGTTCTATCATGTAGATATGTGGAGTTGTAAATAGAGGTACGCCTTAGTGTTCTAAGATGCTCCATCTTAATCTTAGCTCACTCAAACCTTTTAAAGTTTTGCTCACTCATTCTCTTTCTGCCTTGCAGTTCTTCTGTTTATAACTCTGATGGCTGTCTTACTTATTTGCTATCCTGTATTTGCGACTTCTCTCTGCTCAGGATGTCTTTTTTCTCCACTCTTCCATAGTCCCTCCGTAGGCTGACTTGTGTTCATTCCTCAGATGTTAGTCAATGTCCCTGCCAAAATGAGCCACTTTGTCATGCTATCATTTTGGCTCCTCATCTGAACTGTTGCTTTATAATTTGATCTGCTCTCTTCCACAAGAAAGTGAAACCCTTAAGGGCAGGGATCTTCTCTGTCTTCAATATCCATATTGGCTGGCACAATATCTGTGTTGTAGTGAGGTAGTAAATAAGTATTTTTCTATGGATAATCACATCTTTGGGTTGGCAACCTTAACACAGATTACATTTTCTCTAAGCCACAAAACCTTGAAAAATTAGGCTCATTTTTTTTTAAATCACATTTTATTTGTTACTGTTAGACAAAACAATGAATTGTTGATTTTCTTTAGGCAATATTTTACTAAGCATTAGGTGGCAGTAGTGTGTTAGACTTGACTTTACCTTTGGATTTTTTTTGTTTTTTCTTTAAGCTTTCATAATCTTAATGTAGTATAAAAGTATAAAGAACACCTTTGTAGTACTTCCATATATAACGTTTTGTAACATAATCTTATTTGAAGCAAGTAAACTTCATAGAAACAAAGAAAACAAGACACAGCCATGTTAATCAATGAGTATCCCTCTCTAAACTGTACTCATGTTGATTAGAGAATCAGTCCTCCATTGTCTTGGCAGCTCTTCCTCACCAACTGTTTGATGGCTGCTTTATGATAACTGTGATCGAAATAATGAAACCCAGAAGTGATCTTGGAGGATGTGTGTTTTCTTAACGTCCTAAGAAGCTTCAAGTGTTCTAGTTGTAATCTGAGTCTCTATCCATATTCAGGTCTCCTATCTTGTTTATTGAGTTTCTTTTTAGGTGTATTTCTTTCATCATTGAGTGGAAAGGATTAAGTATTGTCACCAGCACTCAAGTCTTAGGTGTTTAATCCCACATCAAGTTTGAATATATGTGTATTAAAATGCTAGTGCTTATGTACATTTAATTTTCATGGTAGCTTCCTAAGGCCTGTAAGTAATCAGAATCTGATTATAATCTGATTATATAGTTAGAAATCATATTTAAGGAAACTATACATTTTAGCCCCACAAAAACATTTCTTCAAAGAAAAGGAATAGGAAGGTATTTAGAGCTGATTCAGATGAGAAAGGCAGAATTCATCTGACACATTTCTCTTCTTTACTTTTCTTTCTCAAGGGTGGAGCACTTGGGGGAATTCAAGCCAGTGTGCTCATTTCACTAATATGGCAGAATGGTCAATTAATAGAAGAAGAGCAGGAGAGCGTTGACAGAGCACACCACCTAATTACTACCGAATGCCTTGGTGGCCACCAGGAGCTGCAGGTTGCTATCGGAGAGCAGCACGGGGTGGGGGAGTGCCACTGTCTGTATGTCACCACTCTTTGCTTTGCAAGGATGACTTTATCTCCATGTCAGTTGTCCAAGTCCTTAATTATGCAAAAACCAAAACAGAAGCCTTTCCCAAACCCGGAGAACAGGTAGAGTCAGCAGTGTTCTTGTTCTAGTGATGATCATTGGAGGAGACTGGAGGTCAGGGTTCACTTCTGAATTTTAAATGTAGCTGTTCAAAGTGTATTGCAGAGGTCAGCCTTCTCCTTCCTAGTTTCCCATTACTGTGTATTTAGTTCCTGCAAACCCACCTCCTAATGCTTCTTTTGAAAAACATTCACGCTGGGCAGTGGTGGCACACACCTTTAATCCCAGCACTTGGGAGGCAGAGCCAGGTGGATTTCTGTGAGTTCTGAGTTCGAGGCCAGCCTGGTCTACAGAGTGAGATCCAGGACAGGCATCAAAACTACACAGAGAAACCCTGTCTCAACAAACAAAAGAAAGAAAGAAAGAAAGAAAGAAAGAAAGAAAGAAAGAAAGAAAGAAAGAAAGAAAGAAAGAAAGAAAAACATTCACACCGTGACTGTTGCAAACTTTGTTTTCTTCAGATCCTTTCCTCTTTTTTCCTGACATGTCCATTTCCACTTTCAATCCTCTTTCTTTTTCTTTAAAGGCCACCTACTCTTCCTCTTCCTTTGCCTGCTTTTTCTGCTTGTCCCACCCCCACTTCCTCTTAATCTCTCTCTCTTCTTTTATCTTCCTCTTTTGCTCCTTGCTAGAGCTACCAGTAATTAATCTCAAACAAAGACTCGAATTTGGCCCTAAAGGCTGCTAATGTTCTACTGATGTGTTGCCAAAGTTCTAAAATCTGACAAATAGACCAAGTAGTGTCTTAAACATTCCTGGTGTTAAGATGGCTTTTGGGGAGGCTGGATTCAGCAGAGGTCCTAGCAGCCAAGGGGATGTGTGTGTGTGTGTGTGTGTGTGTGTGTGTGTGTGTGTGTGTGTGTACCTTTGTTCATCTTATCTGTCAGCCATGTCATTGCACAGGAACCTCACTCTAAGGCTCGTTCTGTGGGCTGTGGGAGAATGGTAGATGCCAGATTCTCTTAGAATTAAAATAAAAAAGCTATTCATAATAATCCCTTAGTAAGGGCTGCCTGCATGTTTCACAGGCCGAGTGTAGGACATGTCCACACAAAACAACTCATCTCAACAGGGATAAGAGAGTTTATTCTGGAGCCAAATTGAATAACCCAGGAACACAGACTTAGCTACCCTAAAGGTTATTTACCTCTTAGCCTTTTGGTTGGTAGAAACTAGGGTTTTGTTAAGTTAATACATTCCAAAAGATTTTTATCTGTCAGTTACAGGATGTTAAGTCTGAGACAGGGTTGAGCAAGGAATGTCTGATTGTTTTAGAGAGCTAATGGTAGCCCACGGTAAATTGTGATTAGGTTCTAGACCTGCAACATTCCGACCTCTCCATAATCATTGAAGTTGTAAACAGTTAACTAGCCTTGCAGAAGGTTCAGTCTGAAAGTGCAGCTTCTTTCTGGGAATGTTCCTTCACAAGCAGCATATGGTATTGGCTATAGACAGATATTTGTATCTGTGTTAGTTTTTCTATTGCTGTGAAGAAACACTGTGACCACAGCAACTCTTATAATGGAAAACATTTCATTGGTGGCTTATAGTTTAGAGGTATAGTCCATTATCATCATGGCAGGATATGACTGTATGCAGGCAGACATGGTGCTGGAGAAGGAGCTGAGAGTGGAGGAGTTACATCTTGATCCCACAGGCAACAAGAAGTGAATTGAGACACTGGGTGTGACTTGAGCATACATGAGACCTCAAAGCCCACCTCCACAGTGACACACTTCCTCCAACAAGGCCACACCTCCTAATAGTGCCACTCCCTATGAGCTTATGGGGAACAATTACTTTCAAACTATCACAGCATATAAATATATATATGCAAACATATGTGTGTATGGGTGCCTGTATGTGTCTATGTGTCTGGGTGATTAGTGTCCTGAGTAGGCAAATCTGCAAAGACACAAAGTAAACTAGTAGTTGCTGGGGCAGGGGGTGGGGGGGGGGGGGGGGGCAGGGTTAACAGGAATGAGAATGACTATGAATGAGCACAGGTTTTCTTTAGATGTGATAAAGATATTCTGATGCTAATAGTGATAGTGTGCCACTCTGTTAAACATCTTTAAAAAAAAAACAATGAATTGGACAACTTAAAGGGTAAGCCATAAGGTTACCCTTCATAAGGTGAATTATATCTCAATAAAACAAGTTTGGCCCATACTCTAAGGCTTAGTAGTTTAGCAGAAAACAAGAAATACTAGTGTATAGCCAGGCCTGGTGTTATACTCCTATGATCCCAGCACTTAGGAGGTGGAAGCAGGAGGATTAGGAATTCAAAGCCAGCTTGGACTACATGACAACATGTCTCAAACACAAAAATAAAAAATAAGGCAAATTCATACCTAATTTTTATAAGTAAAAATAGTGCTACTCTTCATTTTTATTATTATTTTTGTGTGTGCATCTTGTCTTTGAAGCAGTATCTTGCCATGTCATACAATCTGGCTTTGAATTTGTGATCCTCCCATCTCAGCATCTGAGGAGCTGGGATTGTAGTCACTACACCTATCAACTTTAATTACTTCTCCTAAGTGCACAAATGATAATAAGCTGGGCCCTGCCCTGGAGGATTACTTGTAATCTAGCCACTTGACCACAAAGCAGTATTTCAAGTTCTTGCTCATTTCAGTAACATATTTTCTCAATCAGCTCTTGCACATGAAAACCTAAAGTTCTGTCTAAAATGTGTACAAATTATGTTACTAAAGACACTCAATTTGTCACCTTTCAAAAATGTGTAGAAAAATATATACTTTGGGAGAAATTGAGATGGGGACAAACTGAAAATGTGTTCAGGAGAAAAGGGTGTTCTTCCCTGTCTTAGGAGTTTTTTCCCTTTTAATGGTGAGCTGCTAAATTTTAGAATAATAATTGTGATTCTATATGTTGTGGTTATCCAAGAATAGGTCCCCCCACTTACTAGTTTGTAAATGTGTGAGGGTAGTAGTCATTACCAGTTATAGCAGAATGAGGATAGTCATTGATGGTTACAGCAGAATGAGGGAAATGTGTAGTAGAAAAAGTTCTGATTGGATCTCAAGAACAGGCAAGGGAACCCCATACCCATTTCCAGCTTTCCCTCGACTTGTCAGCTTTGACTCTTCTGTAGGAGTGTGATGGAAGTGTGCTGCATTGCAGAATGGCAGGAGGAGGCCCTAACCATCTCATCTCTCTCTCACTAGAAGGAGCACTGTCTTCGTACTTCTAGAAAACTTAAAGACCCTGTGATGAGGCTCCTCAGATGCACGGTCTTCATCCTTTGAGCCACATTTAATCCTTGTTGTTATATTGTAGTTTTTAAATTTCGCTTTGTTTTATGGAGTGACAGGCATAGTTGTCATATAAGAGGGGTCTGGGAAACAAGCCGGTTTCTTACCTTTTTCAAACATGGAAGGAAAGTTTGGCCTTAAAAAGTAGCACTGTCTCTGTAGCTGGAGTTTTCCTGCCTTGCCCACAGTCAGGACAAATCTTTGTCACCCGCCAGTCCCACAGCCGCTCAGACCCAACCAAGTAAACACAGAGACTTATATCGCATACAAACTGTATGGCCATGGCAGACTTCTTGCTAACTGTTCTTTTATCTTAAATTAATCCATTTCCACAAATCTATACCTTGCCACGTGGCTGGTGGCTTACCGGTGTCTTCACATGCTGCTGGTCATGGCGGCAGCTGGCAGTGTCTCTCTCCCTCAGCCTTCCGCTTCCCAGAATTCTCCTCTCTCCTTGTCCCACCTACTTCCTGCCTGGCCACTGGCCAAACAGTGTTTTATTTATTGGCCAATCAGAGCAATTTGACATACAGACCATCCCACAGCATGTCTCCCCCAAACCCCAGCAGATGATCAGAACTGTAGGTAAGCGTACTTTAATGCCTATGGCCTCTAGGTCTGGAAGGTGTTTATAAAACTGCTGAAGATTAAGAATCTATTGTATTCATAAAATTTTCTGATTGCTCCTAATGTTATGCTAATGCTTTAGTAAGGTGAAGCAGTTCTTTATGAGAAAAACTGTTGAGGATGCTGTTGTGATTGATAGATACTAGAGTCCGATTTACTCATGCAAATTGCCTTCCTATCCTCTTAGCTTTACTCTTCCCTTTCATTTCTCAATGGATACCCAAAGGGATGAGCTTTTACTATCTTCAGAGATAAATGCCTCAAAATACTATGGTAAGTGTCTCATCACAGCAATACCTTAACTAGGACACCACCCATCTGTTTTTTTTCTCCAAGGTGGATACAGTATATGATCGATATGACCTGTAAGTACAGTGTAGCAAAGACCCATTATGACCACTGTTGAGTCCCATATGTGGTCACTGGGTGAACTATTGTCTCTTATCATATCTTTTCATGTTCTCAGCTAATTGGAAGAACACAGTAATTACTTGATCACTAGGGACCAGACACAAAAGAGCAAAACTGACTTAAACTAAATACATTCTTCATCTCATCTGAAATGCTAACTAAATCAGCAAATTTCAAATTTGGGGCTTTTGTGGGAAGTATTACACATACAATTTAAGTTTAAAATTATTTAGTTGTGCAAATTATTTATTTGAGCAAAAGATACTGTATTGATCTCTACCCAGACAGTGGCCAATAGAACAGGGTCATGTGGAATTAATATCCACTGATGTTTTATTAAATGTATTATTAAAATATTGTTTCATTAAAATATCTTGAAATTCCTAGAATTTTTATACTATATTTTATTATGCTAGTTTCATAACTTATACCTCATTGTTTTCATGTATAGTTGAAAATATTTGCCCCAGTAGATACCATTACAGTATTGAGTACCTGCAGCCTGTTGTGAATTATACTATCCTTCTT